TTGCTTGTCTGAGAAAGATTTTATTTCTCCTTCACTTACACAGCTTAATTTAGTGGGATATTCAATTCTTAGATGAAATTTTTTTTCTTTGAGGATGCTGAAAATAGGCCCCAATTTCTTTCAGATTGTAAGGTATAAGCTGAGAGGTCCATCAGATGCACCTGATGGAATTCCCTCTGTAAGTGACCTGACATTTCTCTGCAGCTGCCTTCAAGTTAAATGTGGTATATATACACCATGGAATAGTATGCATCTATAAAAAGAATGAAATCATGTCCTTTGCAGCAACGTAGAAGCTGCTGGAGGTCATTATCCTAAGTGAATTAACACAAGAACAAAAATCCAAATACTTCATGTTTTTACTTTTAAGTGGGAGCTAAACATTGAGTGTACATGTACATAAAGATGGAAACAGTAGACACTGGGGACTACTAGAGAGGAGATGGAGGGAGGAGAACATGGGCTGAAAAATTACTCATGGGTGCTACGCTCACTACCCGGATGATAGAAACATTCATACCCCAAACCTCAGGATCATCCAATATGCCCATGTAACAAACCTGCACATGTACCCTCTGAATCTAAAATATAAACTTTAAAAAATAATTTAAAAACCAATTAATTTATCAAAGATGTACTTAAGTCATGTGAACTAAAATATTGTATATTAGCACCCATTTATCCAAATAGAATTCCTTAAGGGATTTCTAGACAACTATGTCAGATTTTATTATATAGACACAGCATACAATATATATACATATGCATAAAAACATCTAAACACCTATACAAATGTATAAATAAAAATATTACAGCTTTTATTTTAGAACTTTAGTCATGAGATAGTAAAACAATAAACCCATCAGTTTATAAAAAGAGAATTAGATCCAAATTATTTTTCTAACAAAATGGGATGAGGCTTAACATTAAGCTTTTTTTAAATAGGTAATATTATGAAGTCTGTGAACTAAATTATAGGTAGAGTAGTTTGAGTCAATTGACAATATGCTGTATTAGACAAAGAATTGTTAACTGAGAAAATGTGAATGAATTATGTGAGGACACCCAAATGACAGTTGTTCGAACTAGGTCTGTACAATATTTTCTTGTCTCAATTCTTTGTCCCTGAAGATAAGATTGTTGCCATTTCTTTTAGTATAGAGACAGTGTCCTTTACATTGGAATTTTATCTTAAAACCAAAACAGCATGAAAATCAAGATGATTGTCTTTATCTGATGATTTTCAAGTGTTTTTACTTAAACAATATGCCAAAATAGCTGAGGAGTTTTGAGAAAAGAGAATTTAGTCCATATTAGGATGAAGAAAAGGAATTGTAAAAGTGGAGGGAAAAGCTCCAGAAAGGAACTTGTCTCCACTAGCTTTGAGACAGTATTTTGTAGCAAGGCAATGTCTGAGTCCTGAAATTTTTATTAGCCTTAGGATATCGGTTGTGATATGAGTCTTATTTGGAGTATATGATTTTATCACCATGGTCTTTTAGTTTTGTTGTAAGAACAACAGACTGTTTGAATGATTCGTATAATGTTTGAACATGTTACCAGCTCGAGTCTCAGAAAATATCTGGGCATGTCTTTAAACTTTGAGAGCCTATTTTTAACTAAATGTATTTAGGTGATTCGGTTTAATGCCAAAAACACAAGTGCTGAATACATAAGTCCAAATAAACACAAGCACCAACAGAAAATAAAGTATGTCCTTACCAGGAAGAACAATAAGCCTTCTCCAAATGAAGGGGAAAGTACCCTCATCCAAACCTCAAAACTGAGATCTAATCCTTACCGCTGAAGTCAACAGGGGGAAAATAACCCTCCCCAAGAGGACATCAGTCAACCAGGAGGCAAAAGACCCCTCTCAAACAGGAGGGGGAAAGAGAAAGACCCCTTCCCAGCCAAATCCCAAATAAAACAGAACTCAACCAAAATTAAGAGTTTAGTCCAAAAAAGACTCACTAAGGGGAAAAGAGGGGACTCCCCAGAAGCAGCAGGACTGAAAGGACTCCAGTGGGGGTACTTCATGCTATAGTTCCCAGGGCCAGTGATTCTCCCTGAAGTAAGTCAGCGTTAGGATCCCACTTCTGACACCAAGTATATCAAAGTCAAAATTAAAATATAGAGGCAAATCTCTAGATTTGATATTTTATTTGGGAAGCAAGAATTGCAATGCAAGGCATCACACAGACCAGGTGGTCTTTGGTGTGACTGAAGAACAATAAGAAGGTTAGAAGTTTTATAAAACGGAGAGATAATACGTTTTGGAACAAAGTTCATTGGCACTAGCAAAGTTTTGGGGAGCTGGCAAGCTGTGATTGGTGAGTGATGGTGGTGGGTTCAAACTAGTCTTAGAGTCACAACAGGTTGTTTCAGTAGCTATTAAATAAAACTGGCTTCAGGTTACAGCAGGAAACTTTAGCAGCTAGGCATATGGAAAATTTAATTCTTGGAGTAGGTACTGTGTGCTCTGAGTGCTTTATTGCCCCAGCCCCTCAACTCTGATTTAGTTGGGTATGACAAAAACGACCCAACTTATACAATTAACTTTCATAATTAAATATTGGCTTAACTAAAACACAAGTATGAACTGAAACAGGACTGATGATGGTAATTTGATTCATAAAATGATGGTGGCAGACTCAGAATATCGCAAGATGATATCAAGTAATGAGCAAACATTGGAGTCATTTTAATTACCTGAGGCCTAAGCCAAGATTCATTTATTGACTTAATATGTACAGGGCAACTAATATAATTAATATAGTGTCAGGCACTGTGCAAAGTAGCTTCTGCTTATCTTTGAGAATTTTCTTTCCTCTCCTATCGTCCTCTCTCTCCTACTGCCTCTTGTTCAAGCAGAATCTTCATATTGCCTTATGGTTATTTAAAGTTTTACACTAAAGTACCACACCTGAACCTGTTCTCAAAAAAGTTTGTGTTAACTTTATATAATTGGTAACTTCTTTTCTTTGCAACTCCTCACTGTCTTAGTACTCTTTGATATTGAGTCTTTAATACTTGACTTGGTACTAAAAGAACAGCAAGTTGGTTGAAGGAATTCACACTGAGACACTTGTCTTTTCTCATCTTTCACAAGTACTACATATACACTTGAACGATTGCAATGTCCATCTTAGGAGTTTTGAGGCAGTAGGAATATGAGTTATTGTTTAGCATGGCTTTAATCAGAATCAAATGAGTCATTTGAATTCTCTACTTAAAGCTGTCTGGACTTAAAACTGCTACAGCATTAGCCCTTACCATTGTCTTCCTACATTCAATATTAAGTAGAAATACCCAATAATACTTTGCACTTGGAATATTTTACTTTCACCTTTCAAGAATGTGATTAGAGGCTGAGCACAGTGGCTCATGTAAGCCTGTAATCACAGCACTTCGGGAGGCTCAGGCAGGTGGATCACTTGAGCTCAGGAGTTCAAAACCAGCCTGGGCAACATGACAAACCACCTCATGCACACACACACACACACACACAAAAAAAAATTAGCTGGGTATGGCGGTGTGCAACTGTAGTCCCAGCTACTTGGTAGACTGAGGTGGGGAGATTGCATGAGCCCAGGAGTTTGAGGCTGCAGTGATCATGCTACAGCACTCCAGCCTGGCAACAGAGCAAGAAAAAAAAGAATTTTATTATAGATCTATGTAATGTATGTATTCCTCCAATTAAACATCAGCATATGGAAATTAATATTTTATAAGTAAAAAGTAATAATATTAATGACATTTTATGTTTACAGGTGCATGGAGAAAATAAGAGGGGACCTCCCAGGTCAAATGTTTCCCAGTTTAAGCATAAATGTTGCAATGACCAGAATGATTATTTTAATCTCTGCTTACAATGTTCTCCTCATTCCTTGTCATTTGGCATACAATGCAGATTGACGGTGTTGGGATGAAGCAGAAACTGGAAGGGTATTATAGAATTTTGCTCCCCAAAAGCATTTTTCTTTACATATGCATTCTTTCAACAAATATTTACTGAGCACTTGGGAAATGCAGTGACAAGCAAAAAAGGCAGCACATATAATCTTTTGTTGGAATTTGTATTTCTGTTACTACCAGATCAAATTCATACCAACCATCTTGAGGGAAATTCTATTCATAGTTAAGGTTGTTCACTGAGGAAACAAATCTGAAAGGCATTGCAATTTATCAGGCAGATTAGTAGAATTCAAATAATGCATTAGAAGATAAATTAGAAACTCAGAAAATTGGTATATCCTTTTGGATTTTTCAGATTGTGACATCAAAATTACACTGATCTATTAATCTAATATATACATTAAAGAACTGTACATATTTACACTAACATAGAGATTATTCTTATGTCTATCTATGTAAACAAGCATAGTAGAAGATTTGGAAATCCTGATGCCAAGGTCGTTTCTATGGTTTCTGAATGGGATTATGAGTATTCATCCTTCTTCATTGATATTTTATGATATTTTTCCATAATGAGCACATATCATTTTTGTAACAGGAACTATTACAAAATGGGTAAAATGGCATTAATCTGCAGATAAATGCAGCTAAAGAACTTCTATGTAGGGAAATTCTATGAACACTTGAAATTTGTGAGAAAAGTAGATGGAGCCACTATAGCAGTGGCCCTGCTAGACACTTCAATCAGCACATTTGCTTTCCAGTCATTCTCAAGATCAGACACAATTAGAAAGACATCAATATATTCAAATATAGGCTATAATGATTCACAGTGAGATAATTATTTTAGGTTTATATTTTTCCTCAACGTGTGCTTCCCCATAAATTTATCAGAATGTTATTTGAACACAATATAGAGATTTAATAAATATTTGAAAAGTAACAAGATTCTTTACATACATATTTTTTAAAATACTCTTTGTTCCCAAAGTACCTCTACTTTGTATTGGTTTTTATGTATAATCTACTAATTAGAATGTATTAACTCATTTTTACAGAAAATCAATGTTTTTATTTCTTTGCAGTGAACCCCATGCCCGGTTCTATGCAGCTCAGATAGTGCTAACATTCGAGTACCTCCATTCACTAGACCTCATCTACAGAGATCTAAAACCTGAAAATCTCTTAATTGACCATCAAGGCTATATCCAGGTATGACTTTAACACATTCTGTATAATGTATTTGAGAAAATACTAGGCAAGACATTGTATGTATGTAACCCCAACCTGGATTTTTTTTTGAAGAAGACAGTTATTCCTAACAGTTTAAGTAGAGCTCAGAGTTTCGCTGCTACTACAGAGAAGCAAAAATCCTATTATGAAAGGAACCTGTTTGTATCTCCCTTAATCTATAGCTGTGAACTGAGTATAACCTCTTGCATAAGGAGATATTAATAGCTAAATCTGTGAGCAGTTATTACTGCCAGGCATATTCCAAGTGTTTTACATGTATTATTTATTTAATCCTGATAAACCTATGAAGTGGAAATACCACTGTTATCTTCATTTTAAGATTAACAAAACTAAGGCATGGCAAGGTCATTTAGCCAGTAAATGGTAGTCAGAATTTGAACCTAGGCAGTCTGATCCCAGAGTCCATGCCCTTTACGACTACAATATAACTGCCAAAGGATCCCTGACTACCAATACTGAACTCGTAGAAACATTTTCTTTTCACTTCTACTACTAATAAAGTGGGAGCATTTCTTTTTACACAATTATCAATAGATTCTCCCATTGACATTTTTACACTTCTGATGGTGCAATTAATGGCAGAGGACATATTGGGGTAAGGCAGACATTTAGCATTGTTTCATTTTTATTAATGCTATTTATTTTTACCTTTTATTTTCACTTTTTTATTCCTTGGGTCTAGGATCTTATAATAATGACTGAAAAGGGTTTTGTTGTTATTAATTTGTTCCTTTTCTTTGTGTTGAGGAAGGATTTCCAACTTGGAGTGTTTAAACCTTCATTCACTATTCATTAATGAATTTCAATTACACGGACTTAATTATTTTTTCAGTTTCTTTCATAGTTTCAATTTGAATTTTAAACTTTCAACTTAGGTTCAATAAACACATTTATTGTGAGGTAATACATTTTCACTAATATTCTTTTTTTCTTTTATAGGTCACAGACTTTGGGTTTGCCAAAAGAGTTAAAGGCAGAACTTGGACATTATGTGGAACTCCAGAGTATTTGGCTCCAGAAATAATTCTCAGCAAGGTATATTCATAATATCTATATGTAAGAGGTAGAAATATGAGTCATGCATCCCTATGGACTTTTGTAAAAAGTTTATTGATCTAATTTTACATTTTTAATTTGATCTGAGTTATGAATTTAAATCTATTTGTGCATGATTACTAAAGAATTACTATTTAGCATCTACCACTAATCCTAAACCTCTGTCAATTTTAACTCTGGGTCTTAGAGAAATAATATGAATAAATATGACCTCTAGATCCATGTTTTGCAACCAAAAACATAGTCTTTTCTTAATTATTCCTAGTAACAGGAGGGTAGAGAAGACTTGCTCTGGATTATACCAAGAGGTAAATCTAGAGATGATATGTACTAGTTGTCCATTCTTTCTTTTTCAAATTTACCAGTTAAATAAAAGGAATGTATGAGAAGTGTTTTTAAATTTTAAATAGGACTATTAACAGCAATTGAATAGTTTTAGTTGTATTGAAGGCAGCTCTACTTTTCTAAATAGTGAAATGTGGTGAGAGAAACTGTACCTATATCTAAAAGAATGGTTAACTTTTCCTCTGCCATCTCTTAGTGGAGAAATCTAGAAAGGAGAACCTAACAATAACCAGGCACAAATAGGAGAGAGGAAAAGGAAGGGAGTAAGACACATGCTTCAGTGGTTCCCAAATGGGATCATTGAAATATGGCTAACCTATAGAAGGGTTAAAATAAAAGATTTCTTTCAAGTTTTCTCTCATTATCTTACAAAATTTAAATAATGTATAACTTCTTGAGATTTTATAATCTAAATATCATTGCAGTTAACATATTTCTTTAAATACAGTTAACAAATAATGTGACAACAAAATGAGCACTAAAACTTTTACAAATGTGTATATATTGTAAAAGTAATACTCATTATACAATATTTAGAAAATACAGAAAAACATAAAGAAACAACCAAAAAAAACCTATATGTAATCCCACCAACCTAGAGGCAGTCTTTTTAAAAACATTCATATATATATGTACATTTTAGCTTTTATTTTAGGTTTGGAGTTACATGTGAAGTTTGTTACATAGGTAAACTCATGTCATGGGAGTTTGTTGTACAGTTTATTTCATCACTCAGGAATTAAGCCCAATACCCATAGTTATCTTTCTTATCCTCTCCCTCCTCCCTACCTCCACTCTCAAGTAGAATCCAACGTCTGTTTTTTCCTTCGTTGTCTTCATAAATTCTCATCATTTAGTTCCCACTTATAAGTGAAAACATGTGGTATTTAGTTTTCTGTTCCTGCATTAGTTTGCTGAGGATGATAGCCTCCAGCTCCATCCATGTTCATGCAAAAGACATGATCTCATTCCTTTTTATAGCTTTATAGTATTCCATAGTATATATGTACCACATTTTCTTTATCTAGTCTACAATTGATGGACATGTAGGTTGATTCCATGTCTTTGCTATTGTGAATAGTGCCACAATGAATAAACAAATGCATGTGTCTTTATGATGGAATGATTTATAATCCTCTGAGTATATACTCAGTAGTGGGATTGCTGGGTCGAATGGTAGTTCTGCTTTTAACTCTTTGAGGAATCTCCATACTGCTTTCCGCAATGGTTGAACTAATTTACACTCCTACCAACAGTGTCTAAGGGTTCACTTTTCTCTGCAACCTTGCCAGCATCTGTTATTTTTTGACTATTTATTTATTTTGAAGATGGAGTCTCGCTCTGTCACCCAGGCTATAGTGCAGTGGCATGATCTCGGCTCACTGCAACCTCTGCCTCCTGAGTTCAAGCGATTCTCCTGCCTCAGGCTCCCAAGTAGGTGGGACTACAGGCATGCACCACCACATCCAGCTAATTTTTATATTTTGTGGTAGACACGGGGTTTCACCATATTGGCCAGGCTGGTCTTGAACTCCCGACCTCAAGTGATCCACCTTCCTCGGCCTCCCATAGTTCTGGGATTACAGGTGTGAGCCACTGCGCCCTACCATTTTTTGACTTTTTAATAATAGCCATTCTGACTGGTGTGGAATGGTATCTCATTATGGTTTTGACTTGCTTGCATTTCTCTAATGATAAGTGATATTGAGCATTATTTCATATCTTTGTTGGCCACATGTATGTCTTCTTTTGGAAAGTGTCAGTTCATGTCCTTTGCCCACCTTTTCATGGGGTTGTTTGTTTCTTGTAAATTTGTTTAAGATCCGCATAGATGCTGGATATTAGACTTTTGGCAGGTGCATAGTTTGCAAATATTTTCTCCCATTCTGCAGGTTCTCTGTTTACCATTGATAGTTTCTTTTGCTGTGCAGAATCTCTTCAGTTTAATTAGATCGCACTTGACAGTGTTTGCTCTTGTTGGAATTGCTTTTGGTGTCTTTGTCATGAAACCTTTTTCCATTCCTATGTCCAGAATGGCATTGCCTAGGTTATCTTCCAAGGTTTTTATACTTTGGGGTTTTGCATTTAAGTCTTTAATCAATCTTGAGCTGATTTTTGTATATGGTATAAGGAAGGGGTCTATCGTCAGTCTTCTGCATATGGCTAGCCACTTATCCCAGCACCATTTATTGAATAGGGAATCTTTTCCCCATTGCTTGGTTTTGTCAGCTTTGTCAAAGATCAGGTGGTCGTAGGTGTGTGGCCTTATTTCTGGGTTGTCATAGTTGAAATCATAGTAAATGTATATAGTCTTGTCTCTGACTTTTTTCACTTTTATTATAACAAGCACACAAACATCATTCTAATGGCTTGTTTGCAAATGTACCATAGAGTATTTAGCCACTCTTCTATTGTTGAGTGTTCAGGTTTTATTTTTGGTTTTTGTTTTTTATTATTATAAATAACTTTGATAAACATCCTTATACATAAAGCTTTTTCTGTATTTTACATTATTTCCTTAGCATATATTCCCAGAAGTAGAATTACTGGGTCAAGGAGTAGGAACATTTTTAAGGCTTTTGATACATATTGCCAAATTGCTTTCCAAAGTTATTATGCCATTTTACACTTCTACCATTAGTGTATTATAGTGCCTATTTCATAACACTGTCACTGGGTATACTCATTTTTAAAATATTTACTAATTTAATAGGTAATAAATTGTATCTCATTGTTTTAATTCTCATGTTTTTGATTTATTTTTCAAATGGTTAATAGCCATTTGGTATTTCTTTGTGTGTCTGTAAATTAATAGTTCATTTCCTTTGCCCATTTGTCTATTGTAATTTAACATTTTTCTTATTGATGTGTTTTGATTTCTATACCTTGGGTATTAACTTGTGTCTGACACATTTACTATAAACATTAGCACACAATTTAAACATATGAATCAAAAAGTTAAAGAGAGTTAATGCCTATTTCTACTAGAAAACAAAGTGCTATTCCTATTATACCACTCCTTCCCTTAAAAAGATATATACAGTATCAGGAAAGAAAAAAAGAGATAAAGAAAATCTCTATAGCATTATAGTATTATATTTTTGCTAGAATTTTGAAAACTAAGTAGTTTGTAAAGCTAAAATTTTGACAAAAGGGTGGAATGTGGAGAGTCGTGATGGTAGAGGGTACCTCTGAGGGCGGAACAATAGATCTGGGTAGAATTCAGCTTATTTCTCTTCATGACCAGGTTGTTGGGGTTGTTAAAAAATGTCTTGTGCCAGTTGATACTGATCACAGTTAATAAACTATATTAGCCTGTTATTCTTATTTATTTTCTTATAAATACTTCCGGATTTTAATTTTAGTAAGCTTAATATGAAAAAAAAACAAACATAACCTTACATTTTTACATTTGGTTTGCAAAGCACTTTTTATACACATTACTCCCTTTCATTTGATACAGTCCTCACAAAACATACCTTTTAGAGATAGGAAGCAAAACAGTAGATAGCAAAAGTAAAGTATACTTAAATATTTACATTAATTGAATTCTACATTAAACTTTTTGCTTTCACAAAATCCTATGAAGCAGATGGGATTATCCCTAGCACATTCACTCTCCTAACTCCAAAAATATAGAATATTTTGAAGTCAACTTCACTATTTACTATGTAGTCCAGTTTCCATTATTTTCTTTGAAAACTTTCAATCTTTCTAGGCATGCTGTGGAAAATCTGATTCATAAGATTATGGGCCTAGAATGGGCCTTAAGAAGTAATGTGATCTAACTGCCTTCCTGTTATTGAGCAAGAACTAACTTATACCAGTGAAATAAAGAAAATTTCATTGTCTATAATATTCTTAATCATTTTAGGAAGAAGATTTAATAATCTTTCCTAATATCCAATTTCAATATCTGGAAATCCTCTCCTTTGTTTAATTTAAATCTGACCTGATACATTTGGTTCATTTTTAAATTCTGTCCTGAATAGCTGCTCAGCAATTGCTTTAAAAAATTTTTTATATGCTTCCAGATCATTTTGAAATTATCTTTGATTTCTTTCTCTTCTGAGTAACTTAAATAACAGTTGACATTGGTGTTGATTTATCTCAGGGCTACAATAAGGCAGTGGATTGGTGGGCATTAGGAGTGCTCATCTATGAAATGGCAGCTGGCTATCCCCCATTCTTTGCAGACCAACCAATTCAGATTTATGAAAAGATTGTTTCTGGAAAGGTAAGTAAAATATTTTATTATTCCTCTCTTATTACTGTACATGAATTTTAAGCTTCATGTATTGAAACTATATTGTGTCATAATTATTATTCTACATTGGGAAAAATATGGAAAAATCTACAGTTGCTGCTCTTAATAGCATAAGAAATGAATCATTTCAGTTTCTTAAGAAAAAAAGGGCAGTTTTATAAAGAAATTAACAAAACAGTAAAGCAATTTCTGTATTTAGTATTTTTACCACAAAGAACAGGATCATAGCCATAATTCTCAATATTCCTTCAAATAAGTAAAAATAGTTTATTATTTCATACATCTATCTTCATGGAGAAAAGTTTTTGGGGCTGTTTTATATGCCCTTCCATTTTCAGGAGAGACTTCTTGTTTTAATTATGTCCAATACTATAAAATTGGAAGTAAAAGTAAATACAAAATGAATAAGGCTTTTTAAGATGGAAATTTATAGAACTGACTTTAACAGAATTGTTCATATAGATTGTGATTATAATTGTCATTGGTTTTTAGCAAACACGGAAATAACATTAATTTTTCTTGAACATGAGTAGACTTATTATGTTGTAGTATTTTACATTTTGTAAATTTCTTTCTAAACCTTCCTTCTTTTGCACTTATAACCTCTAATTTTGCTTTCAAGAGTATTTTGTTTAGGGTCAATCATTTGTGCTTGCCTTAACTCAGATCTCAGATCTTTTTTAAAAAAGACCATATTCAATTCAATAGAAATGAGCTTGAATTTCCTGTCATGCAGCAAAAGAATAGGCTTTTAAACATTCCCAGAAGGAGACCTTCTATACATTAATGACAAAATATATGGGAAGGGGTATTTTGCTTATTTTCCCTTCTTTCTATTTCTACAAGTCGTACTACTTTGTCTTTTCCTTCCCACATAGTCCTGTTTAGAATATGATCAGGAAATAGAGCATCAATCTTGATACCACGTTAGCCTGAGATGTTATATAGTTGAGGTTTTTTTGTTTTATTTTTTGTTTGTTTGTTTTGTATTTTGTGACCTTCTTAGGCAGAGATAAGCCTAATCAATCTGAAGAATCTTATAGGAGATAGAGGGAAAGTCTTTATTTCTTTGTATCTCAGCCATATTCAAGCTCTACATTTAGTGTGAAAGCTTACCCTTGACATCTATCAACTTACAGTTTCCATTGTTAACTATTCTCAAGGTACCCTGAATGTCGATAATGTGGTAATTTATCTTTTTTGCCAACACTCAAATTTAAATCATAGATGCTGCATAGCTGGGATGTAGGAACAAGACACTTGCCAATAGAATTAGTCTATCCAATCACCTAGAATATACATTTCAGCACAGTATTGTTCCCTATCTCAGAGTACATATGCAGTCTGCCTGGATCACAAGATTTTCCCTTGTATTTTGCCACATTTTATGTAGAAAGTTTTATGTATTACCAGTATTCACAAATTAGGTGACTGACTGAAGAATTTATACCTCAACTATGTCAAAGGTAAAAAAAATAAATACCTCTTACAGATAAATAAACCAAGCTAGATGTTGAACACTGTGCACTGATAAAGGCAAAAAGAAAAGCAGAATGCAGTATTTATTTAAACAAGTATTAATATCACTGCTGTTCTTGTTACATTTGTAGATCTCTGGCATCAGATTTCTTATCTTTGTAATTGTTTTCCCCCAGCAGAACTTTTGATATGAACAAAACAAAACTTTGAGAAAAATTAACAGACAAGGCAGTGATTTATTTTTGAAGAATTTGAGAAGTGTAGACTCTCAAGAGGACTAAAGGTCATATGAAGAATGATGAGAGAACCAAAATACATTAAAATCACAAATGGAAGAAGAATATTTTACTAATACAAAAACTAAGAATGTAAATATAATGTTTCAAATAATTTAATTGACAGTAATTATAAAGTTCTTGAATCTTTAGTATATTGCTTTTATTTATGCTTAACTTCATATAAGAAATGCAGTTTTCTAACAAGGATACTGTCATAACTAAATTTACATTTATTAAGAAAAACTGCTTTAGTTAAAATTAATGTATCTTCATCTTTATGCATTGGCCTCAATTTGCCAATCATTCTCTATTGGTTAAAATTTATATTCAGCTGTTTATGAATATATATTCATTTTATATCAAACTTTAAAATTTTGTATCTAATAATCTGCATATATTCTAAAATCATAACAGTCTAAATCGTAGGCACCTTATAAGAATAACAACATAAAACTTTATTATATCACAATATTCTGTTTTCCCCTTCATTTATTTAGAAGTGTGACAGGATATTTGGTGTACTTTTGTTTTTTAGCTAAAAGTACCAGATTATCTTTCCCCATATGGGACATAAAATTATCCCTATCTCTTACTCCCTTTACTCATCTAAAGTAGAAGTCATGAAAGCGGAATTTTTGCCATTAAAAGGCGCTGTATTATGTGAAGTTAGATTGTATTAACCATTTCCCAATAAATCATCTGTTTGAACACTGAGATTCAAACTAGAATGTGTCTCTATTCACATTGCAAAAATATTATTGTCTCTCTGGTTAGTAGCTAAAGCCAAATTGGAAACTAACTAGTTTTTTAAATTTTGCAAATTATTAAAAATCGAATTTGGTCTTATATTTGTGGATCCTCATATTTATATTTGCATTTGAACTTTTAATGGTTTTAATGATATATCATTTAAGAATGTGCTTTTCATTCAGAATTGTTTTTGTTGATTTTAGAAGCATATTATTTTTTGCAACCACATCTTATATTGATTATATCCTGCATTCTGAAGTCATGTTATAAAGGTTATAGGTATCAATGACTTATCAAAGTTAAAGTTAAATTTATTAATTAAGTGATAAATTCACTGAAGTACGTATATATGAACATTAGATTGTAAAATACTTTCTCTATTACAATATTTTAACTCAAGCTGGTATTTTTAAATGCACACAAAGATGATCAATCAACTTGTTAGATTCTCTCCTACACATATTTTGCCTTTAAAAAAACAGAGGAGGTGGTATTTAAATGTCAAATTATTCATGCAATGTTAGGGTTTGAGTCTACAAATTCATAGTTGAAAGAAAAGACTTATGATTCCTGCATTAACTATGCCTCATCCTAGCAATACATATGCTGAGTTTCTGTATGTAGTCTTTAAATTTCATGCCTCAGTGTCATGTACTCCATGACAAGAATCAGTTATGGTCTCTATAGCACCTCTATCTGGCTGCATTACCCATGTATATATAGAAAGTTTATATTGCAGTCAAAAATTATACTTGCATGTAAGGTACTCAAGTAACAGCTACTATGGAAACCATAACTTTAGAGCCCTTGGCTTATGTAATTAAAAAAAAATTCTTAGCTTCAACATACCTGATGTAAATATTGTTCCATGCTTAATGAGTAACAATATATAAGGAGACATTATGCAAAATATAGAAGCATAAACATAAGCATATACTGAATGAGCAAAGAGTTGGTTAATTTTTCCTGAAGGGAAATTCAATATTTACATGAAGAGTAATTGATTATCAGCCCAATTGCTATTCCTTTCTGTCTCAGGGGTCCCTAAAACTATCTCCAGGTTTGGTAATTCACCAGGAGGACTCAACAAGAATCAGCATACAGTGGTACTTGAGGCTAAGATTTATTTCAACAAAAGGGTACAAAGTGAAGATAGCTAAAGTCCAGAAGACACGAGGCACAAGCTTTCAAGAGTCCTCTCCCAGGGCAGTCACAAGGGGTGCACATAATTCCTTCAGCAACAAACTCTGACAAGCGTTAAATTTTATCTACCAGCAATACTCATTAAATACTCAATGCCCAAGGTTTTCATTGGGGGTTGGTCACATATGCACCCTCTGCCTACTGCATGCCAAAATCCCAGGCTCCCAGAACAAAAATAGATGTTCAGAATAAACTATGTTGTTTGTACCAACAGTCTAGGCACAGTGAGCCACTCTAATCCTTTAGGGAAAGTTTCATATTGGTATAAAGACACTGGTACTATTCAAATTGCCAGACACCTCCCAAGGGCCAAACTTGTAAGCCGTTCTTTCTAAGGGTAGCAATCTCAGGCCTGCTATGTTAACTATTTTCTACACACATTCTGTTTCCTAAATAACATACACATACGCAGATATTCCACTACACTTTTTCTAAGATACTATTGTTACAATAGCATTTACTACTTTGCTATGGCCATAGTTAAAGAGACTTAGAAGTACTCGGAAATCATTTTCATAAAACACAAAAGCAGTTTTACTCTTTTTGTAAAACCCAGGGCCAGTTTTAAACACTTCACTGTGGTTATTTAAAATTCTTATTAATACCTTCTTTGGTGACAGCTCTTGTGGTCCTATGAGCAAATAATCGCAAAACTGGCTTCTTATGTGAGAGCAGGGGGAGGGAGAATGGGGCAGATCATAATCCTCTGCAACCTTGTAGACTCATATCTACCACTGTTTCTGCATAGGTAAGGGAACAGAATAGAGAGCCCACAGATGCAGTACCAATATTTATAAATATTTTTAATGTCTTAGCTCTTTCTTTTCACATGTAGAATCCAGGCTGATTAAAGATACCCAGGTCTTATGAGGTAGTGTAGAACTCAGCACCATATCTACAACATGCCTAGTATATGAAAAGTTATTATGCCTGTTGAAAAATTGTCTAATGTATATGTTCATTTTTGATCAATCAGTTCTTTACTGGGATTGCAGATATTTTGAGAACTTATTGTACCTAATTTAGAAATAATTTGTTAAAATTTATCTCAACATGCTCATAGCCAGTAGTTAATAGATTATTGCTTCTTGGCTGTGTACAAACTCTTTTGAGTCATGTAAGCCTATAGTAAATTTTATCCCAATTCATAAAAGATAATGTTACTAGTTAAATGATCCTTTCTCCTGCCAATAACTGCAGAATAGCACTAAGATTTTTCCCTTCTTTCGAAGAACAACTTTGTAATTTCTGTGATTAAGC